ATAATACCGTATCTTCCTAATAATATATGGAAGTTATCATTCACGTATTCAGTACCGTTATCGGTAAATATCTCTTTGATCTTCTTATTAAGCTGGTTTTCAACCAATTGCTTATATAAGGTAAATTTCTTAATAGCTTCGTCTTTTGATCGAAGTAGAGATATATGTAGATATCTTGATGTTTTATCAAGAAACGTGATGTAGTAGCGATAGCCATTATAGGTCTTAGGGCTAATAGGCCCTCCAATATCGCTATGTATTCTTTCGCCTATGCCGTATTCGGCAGCAGAAGTAGAAGATTTATTGATCTTCCTGTCATATTTTGACTGTATGCATATTTCGCATATATCTTGCATATAATCTCTTATCTCAGTATCAGATAGAGATATATCGGCCTGGCTTAGTAGCCTTTGTAGTGGTATTAGGCCTATATGGCCTAATCTATCATGCCAAAGTTTTAAACTAGTAATATTGCTAGTACTTTGGATAGATTGATCTTGATCGATTTTTTGATCAGAATCTACCTTATGTGGCTTTGTATGCATCACATATAGGGTAGTTCGATATAGATTATCTTGCTTATGCCCAATCAGCATAATATTTCGATATTGATCGAAAATAGTGGCCTTTTCTCTATTAAATAGAGATACTGAATTTTTCAGTGCATGTGTGCTTAATATATTGATTCCCAATTGTGGGACATAGAGCACATTAGTCAATTTATAGACTAGATTGGTATTTGTCTGGAAGATAATATCTCCAGCAAGATCGATAGATAATCTTTGTGCATTTCCCCACATGACAGTTTTATTAGTTTTATATACACTATCAAACAAATCCAATTTAGATACTGCACATATAGTGGCAGCTGTATCAATAATGAAAATCACTTTTGTAGTAGAAAGATCTGAATTTATCAGATTATATGCACTTTCTATAGTGATATCAGAATTGGTTTCTTGGTTTGTTTTGATAGGTAGATAAATTACCTGATCGGTTTCATGCGAGAACTCATCGCAGAGTGAGAGACTTCTTGGTGTATTCACCATAGATTCATTACTCAGATTTGAGTAGTCTCTTATCAGGTTTTGATCATCAAAGATTGGTAGGCCATGCCTGATTGGCTGTGCCTCTGTCATGGGTATATCAGATTCTATCTGATAATCTGATCGATAGTCAATTGGACTAATCGGTGTATAACAGATATCACCGTCAAGATCAATTGGATCATTAGCCAATAGGCTAGTAGGCAGTAGGTTGCTAGCCGAGGTTTCTTGATGTTCAGCTTCTGCGGGGTAATCTGTCACATGACTAGTGACGTGGATTTCTTCCTCGTCAGATTGCTCATTGAGCATTGCTGTGATCATCTTCTTTTGTTGATTAAATCTTTGATTATTTTGATTGGATCTAGGCCAATTTGCCCTAGGTATCCAATTAGCTGGTCTGCCAGAAGGATGCAGATACCAGCAATCTGCTACTGTATGGCTTCGCATATTACAATGCGTACAGTATTTGCCAGAATTTGACAATTTTTTCCATGGTTTTTTGCTAATTCGACGATTTTGATTAGCCTGACGATTTTTTGAATAGTGCTTTACCTGATGATTAGGCTTGCGATGAGCCTGATATTTGTTCTGTCGATTAGGCTGATGGCTATCAGCTATGAAGATTTGTTCGCTTGATTGAATATGACCACGCGATTCGTCAATCAGATTGGCGAATAACGATTCAATCGTATAAGAATCAGAGTCTCTGCGAAGAGATTGAATAATATTTTGAATAATCGGTGCGTATGATTGGTCAAGATTGTTGAGAACCCATGCGAATACGATTTGCTTTGGGAAATCGATTCCTAGGCTTGCCAGTTCGATTAGCAGGCGTCTTATCTCAGTGAGATAATCATGCATGCTATCGAAATCGCCTAATTGACTATTGAATAGGCTTTTCAACACAAGGAATTCGGTAGTAAAGCCTTTAGGTCGATATTGGGTAGCCAAGGTAACCCATGCTTGGTAGGCCGATGTGGTATCTCCTAACCAAAAGAGTGGGCCATCTTTGCATGATAGCTTGATTGATGATAGAGCGTCTCGATTCATCTGATCAATAGTTTTGAATTTATCAGATGGAATAACTAGCTCATTTTGGCCTATCTCAGCAGGGCTAGTAGATCTTGTAGGTCTACCAGATCTTCTTCCTGACCAAATCGCAGTATTTCTGCAATCAGGTGATCGTTGATCAGGTGGTAGAGCAATTGCTTTTTCATAAGACCAGTGTTGATTAGGAATCTGGCCTTGCTGAATAGCAGGAAGCTTTGTGTAATCATGTAGAATCGCATCGATCAGTCTCTCTTGATCAAGAATTGCCTTGATTCGGATAGACCAGGCAACATAATTTCCTTCTCCTTTGAGAGGATCGATATTGTGTTTGTTGATCATTTTGAGTTCAAAAAACTTGATTGAATATTTGAAAAATGATTGTTTTTGTCAAGAAAGTTGAGATTTCTTAGTTTTCGTATAGAGAAGTAGACGCGACCGGTAAAAATCGAGTATAAATTTTTGAAAATAAGAAGTCGGAGGAGCTTTTTGTTTCTCTTTAAGAGAGAGAAGTTTCTCTTAAAAGTAAAGGATTCTTCGTTGAAGATAGAAGATTGAAGAAGTGGTATAAGCCGAATTGAAGTAGGATCAATTCGGGCTCATAACCTGTGAGCAAGCGATGCTGCGCAGGTTGGGTAAAGAGGAAGATAAATTAAAGATGATTAAATAAGATCGATTGATCTTTCTTCCTCTTGATTGAATAGGAAGGATAAGTTCAATTCGGCTTAGAATCATAAAGATGAGAGAAAAGTAAAGTAGGACTGAAGCTTGGTTGATTGTATTGAATCTTGCTTGTATGTCTTGAACATGATTTTTGTAGAGAAAACAGGGCTTATTTATAATCAATCTTTATCAAACCTCTTTTGCATGTGATCGTTCTAGATCCTAGATCTAGATGCATGATGATCTCATGCAGACAGATAGTGATCTCATGCAGTAGCTGTTTGATCGGTGGTTGCTTGATTGTACGATGTCATTGATCGTAGTGATGATGTAGATCGTATACAATAGTATACGTCTTCTACGATATCATTGACCGTAGTGATGATGGTATAGCGATGTCATTGACCGTAGTGATGATGGTATAGCATAAAGCTTATAGAGATTCAGCCATCTTGTATAGGCCTTATGAATCTGGCTTGATATGCTGCATGGCGGTCTGGCTTGATAACATCCTGCCCTATATCTCACACCTATCTAGGCCGGAGAATGCTCAACACTCCAAAATGACCTCGAATGTTCTTGATTTCCTTATGTGATATTTGCCATGTTCCTTATGTTATAAATTGTACTCTGTTTCCTAGTTAGAATGAACAAGTTTGATATCTCTTTTATCACGGGTAGAATTACCGGGCATAGTAGACTATCTGAATCAACCTTCCACTGCTTGATTCTTCTGTCTGACCAGCCGATCGTGTTCTATCTTGATTCGTCTCTCTTCCATAATCGTGGCACTAAGATTAGTGTGCACGAACGATTTCTTCCGCGGTTTTATGCACCAGAGACATTTCCAACATTAACTATTAAGACTAGTATAACTATATTACTAACGCTTAATATAGAAAGGTATAGCTCTACGCTAGTCTCTCAAATTCTAGCTTAGCGAGACCTAAACACGTTTCTAGAGTATTACTAAGCACACTAGTCCTCTATTAGTTAATACAGTCTCTACTATCTTAGATAAGAAAGCCGAGATAAAGTATATCGCCTACTTTCAAGGGTATAGCCAATTTTGTGAACTAGGAATGCCGGTTGAATTGCCTGCCTATATAAAGGAAAGTATATTAATACTACTAGAGATCACTAAAATCTAAACCCGTATTAAGGAGTTCGAAAAAGTTGGTAATAACGAGGGCCTTATAATTACGAGGCTGCAATATAGAGAGGTACTAGTGCGTCAACGTCGAATTAGGCTCAAAAACTATCAGGATTCATGGGTACAGGCGAAAAGAGATCAAGACATCCTCAACCGTCGGAAGGAGGAACCATCCAAAGCATTGAAAGATATTTACACGCGTACCCAATACTTGATAATGCAAGATCTCCGATTCGGACCTGACCCTCAACTGCTGACTGACATGCGAAGACTCCAAGAGCTCGAAAAGGAAACAATTGCGGCGTGGCAGGACGCTTCGAACATGTGAACCTGTGCTCCATTGTTATAAAATAAGACTATCCCGTAAATGACATTTATTGCTTCAGATTGGGACGTCATTATGTCGTCCAACGAATAAGCAAAAAAAAGTCCAAGTCATACGTAATCCTCACTCAGCAGACGGATATTCACCCCGTGCTGAGTCCCAAATCCGTTCATGCCACTTTGACCTTTCGGGTATGTTTCTCCCATCCTTGTCCAATCACACCTTACACCCCACTATACTACGGAGCCTGTCGGGCGTATAATTGGCAGATCCTTACGGGCGTGCATCGAACTTTCCAGCGACCCCTTACCAAATTCAAATGTACAAACTCAACGTTATCACTCTACTCGCCGTTACTTTTCGGACTTATTTTGTTTCGGGGCCACAGCGTGTGCAGCGCGCGTCACCAGTTGCATCCAAGATTGGTTCCGCTTGGTCCTATCCTCGATCCCATTCGCCTACTAGGATTACTAGCCTATACTGTCTCAGCTTGCGCCGACACATATTTATTTTAGTTGCCCGATTCCGGACCCCTATTCCTGACAAAGTAGACACATTAGACAGATAGATTACGGTTCATGTTGTAAACCTTGAGGGGTACCTATAATGATCTTTATAAGTAACGCAGGCGGGAAACGGAGCTATGGGAACTTCGTTCACCGACGTTTGTAGGCAAAGGCATTGGTAGGTAAGGTGCTATTGTTACAATTAGCTATTAGAAAGAAGTAAGTTTCTGCATCCGATGATGGCTTTGGCGAACATAGCCCTAGTTGGATTTTTGGCCCACAACCTGGCTTGTAATATTAATTGAGGCCTCCGCTTGTACGCTCCAATTCCATAGCATCTCGGAGAGATGCTCATCCTTTGCAACATCAGACAATTTCGAGTCTGTGGCATCCCAACTGTAGCCATAGTAGAACTTTCCAGCAAGCGGTCCAACGTCGAAATACCGCCCACTCAATGACTTTAACTTAATCTCAGGGTCTGTAGCCAGCAACAATTTTGTTAGAGCGCCGTCTTCTGGGGGTATGCTCATCAATCGGACGACCGAAGAGTTGATAAACTTGAACATTGGCGGCAGCGCAGCTGAATCAGTTCCTGGAGCAGTGCCCACTGTGCCTGTGCAAGAGCGTTATTAGCACACGATCGAGGGTTGGTTTCAAACCACGTACCCGGGTTGAGGCAATTGACAAGAATGTTGGAGTAACCTGTTGCCTGAAAATGCGTGTGGAGATGCCGGGCAAATAATATATTCGCCAGCTTTGAACGTGCGTATCTACCAGAATTTTAGTTTGGTTCGTTCTTGTCTCTAGCTCTTTAGTTCCCGAAATTTGTGTACTCTCAAGGAAATAACTGCCTAAATCACCATAATATGGAAGGTTAAACTGACCTCTGCAAGCTAGCTTGCACATCGGCAAGGCTCTTTATAGTGTTCGGTCCCTCCGTCCTTAGGCCTTCAAAATCGATTTTATCCGGTAGAACCGGCTTATACATGGCATGAGCGTGCGATGCAACAATGACAATCCTCGCCTCGCCAAATGCCTCGGAAGTGTATTGAATCAGGTTCTAACAAGAGATTAGTATATGTGTAAGACAAGAATAAACAATTTTCACAAGGTCATACCAAAAGGTTGTGCGTGAACACAAAATGGCCGTAGTGCTACAAACACGGGAACTTGTTAAGCTTGTGAACTGCAACATACTGTATTATATATATGCATATTTCCTTACGTTTGTCTGCATGGGTGTCAGCAAATATGAACCGCACTAAGGAATATATAGAACCTACACCAAACTGTACCTCAATTCCATCACTTGACAATGTCTCTGGCTATGTCTGATTAACATCGGTCCAGTCTTTATAAGCGCTTGATCTAGTGCCCACAAGAGGTAACTCACTACAACAGCCAATGCAGCGTTCGCAATAAGGACATCAAGTCTTCCCTCAAGCTTAGTGAAGTGCTTTGCTGCCGAGATGCAACTCGTTGCATCTGACAAGTCAAGCTCGAGGAAGTTCAAGCCTGCAGTCATATGCGGGTCGGCTGACTTAAGGTGGTTGAAAAGTTGCTCAAATTTTCCTTTCGATCGAGAAGCAACATATACTTTGGCATTGTGCCTCAGTAGCTGCTTTACCGTCTGTTTACCAATTCCCGTGGCACCACTAGGGAATCTTGTGTCAGCTTGTATTAAATCTGCTATAATGTCAATAATTCTCACCCAGTGACGATGATGACCTTGCCGGCTAGATCAGGGATGTCTTCAACTGAGAATTTCTTTCGAAACGGATCCATAACTGTTGTCAAACGTCAGAACGATGACTAGAAAAATAATATGCTTATCGCCAAAGTGATAACTGTAGGACACTTGGTGTAAGTTGATGAATTTGGATGCAAAGTCAGTTTGTTACGAAATCTTTATGATTTATTAAGTCGTTTCTGAACGGAGTTCGGAACCGTCGCCCCTATCTCCGCACGTCGTTTGCATCGGGTAATACCTGACGCAATACACAACTTCTGAAACCCAGGCGGGATCTTAGTCAGGAGATTCGCGGGCGGGTTTCGATTTGAAACCCCGACCCAAGGAGGACATGTTGCCGAGCAGTTTGAATCCGGAGGAAAATTCCTTATGGGTGGTAGAAGAACCTGAGGGCAAGATAAAAATATTTTATGTAGGATAAAAACAATCACAGAGGCATGGATTTTAATCTTGAGGGCCAACTGAGCCCTTATAGAGGCCATACAGGGACGGGGATGGGCAACCTCTATTAGAAGATGAGCTGAGAAGTCTCTGAGAAGACCACCCTCCATCCACATATTTAACTGCTACTTCCATCGGACTGCTGCCTATCTACTCGTTTCTGAAGCAACCAGCTCTGCCTCCTATTTTATCATCGCTAATTGGGCGATTCCTTATGTGGTTTTTCGATCTCGACTTTGGAAGCGCTTCTACAAGATCGATCATAATGTCGCCCCTAGAGACGACATTGCGACCTATGGGCAGGCAGCTGTGCGCGAAGGAAAGATTTCTCAATGGACCTTGAACACTCTCAAAAGGATAGATGCTGCGTCAGCCAACGCCACAGAGAGTTTTCCTCCTCAAGATACGGATTCAGTCCTTCACCCAGTAATGGCCCTCAGGACGGTCTCGAGTTATCCTAGTCCCACCAGGAAAACCCCCAGGCTTCTCCAGCTCACCGAGAGGGATGAAAGCAGACCAGACGATGAGAAGCTTGATCCGGTATATAATAAAGTAGAAAGTCGTGGTTAATAACCGGGGATCACCTTACGAAGCTATTTGACAATGCTAATATTAATTGGGCAGCTGCAAAGAAGCAACTGCTCTCTGCGCAAGACCAGACTTGTTCGCCCAGAAATTTGGAGGGACGCCCGCCAGGTTGTCTCTGAAATCAGCAGCTAAGTTCAACTGTATGATGAAAGAATAAATAAAGAGGGATTGTACTGAGATCACTATTGAATAGAGCAAAAGGCACTTTTCTTCTTTTTCCACGCTTTCGCCCGCATGAATATCTGCTACGCCTCATCCAGTTTGCCTTGGGCACGGTATAGGAGCCCGAGGCCATAGACGGTGCCAAGGGTTGATGGTTAACCTAGTTACTCTGGGATACAAAGAGCACAAATAAAGTGACATGCAGGCAAATGAAAGCGTATCCAATTTAAGATATCATCGTACTAACATAGGCTGGCAGTATTTCAAAGGATTATACAAGTAACAATAGCAGCGCCGATAGGGATGCCAAGGAATACTATAACACTTTTTAGCTGCTGTCAAATATGACAAAGCCAACTCACTACTAGACGGGCTGATTACCATGATAAAGTAGAACCACTGGAGCCAACCCCATCAGATAACTGATTCCTCCGTACGCATAAGCGGTTGACGCGGCTCCTGTCTGGGAGATAGCGGAAACAGATGCCGAAGAACCACCAGTAGTGGTCGCACTCGAGCTCGTCGAGCCCGCTGTCGACGCCGTCACCGTCGCTGGCACGAACAGCGTGGGATCTGCAGTGAAGCTTGCCGAAAGTCCCGTTACATTCTTGCATACACTGGGTGGTGAATGGGATCCCGAAACGAAGTTGACGGCGGCACACTGTGTTTGTTCGTCCGTCGTTAAAATCCTGTTAAAGGAAAAAAAATACATACGTTGAGGGGGTATCCGATGCGCAAAGTTGAGATATCAAAGGCATACCTGGTAGAGAGTTTCGGTTGGGGAGACTTGGACAACGGAAATGACACCTTTCTTTCCTATCCAGGAGCCTGGCACCGTCACCGCTGGCTCACAGTAGTCGCCTATTCCAGTTTGTTCGACGGCAGGCAGGAGATCTGTCCAGTTTGCAGTAGTAACATTCAGGTCAAGAGTCGAGCGAAAGAGCCATATTGATTGAGGGTGTATCGATGTCACGGCGATGGTATCCCCGTCGACATGGAAATCGGTCACGTTATCCTTGATGAAGTCGACAGTGAAGCCGCCGCATGGAGGAGTAAGTTCAAGAGTGTCGCCAAAGCCGATTGTGGAGGGATAATTGAGGAGGAAGTGCGCCGAGGACTGGCTAACAGCCAAGGCCAATAACCCAAGAAGAGCGTTCATAGAAAACTGTGCCATTTTGCAGCATTTGAATTACTGGGTTAGTTAGGTAGTGTTTGTTTTTTTTTGGCAAATACTAGAATGAGAGAATAAACCGGGATATATAGACAAGTTATAGGGAGGTAATAGCCACAGTACAACAGGAAGGAGGGACATCAAGGTGCATGGTGAAAATTTACCTCCAGATACACTGACACAGTCCAGAAGATTCCATACTTCGCAATGATGTTATATGAAGCCGCGTAATCATCAAATGTTGTCAGTCTAGAACGGACTAGGTTCTATATTTTATGGAGGCGGTGTTGCCGTGCCAGATTTAAGAATTGTTCGCACGACGTGCGCCACTGGCTGCATTATTCTATTTGAGAAAGTGCTCGCAAATGGGGCAGTAGTCCTGGTTCAACCTACCACATAGAGCAAATAATGATCTTGAAGCTAGAGGTCGGCACGAATACATCTTCGTAAAATTTTGAGATATTCGCATTCGCATTCGTAGTTCGCAGACCTCTACGAATATTTGTACAACTAACTAACTCTTGCCAAGACAAGAACAGGTCCACAAAGCAGCCAATGGAAGAGTATGTATCACGTGCCTTTGTCTATCCGGTCTTGGCATGATAGGAGAGTTTTTCTCTGCCAGCATTTATTTTCTTTGAGAGGTGGCCGACTTATGGAAGGCCACGATGCGTAAATCTTTTACCCAGGTCCAACTCTAGCCTTTAAGTCAAATTGATCTATATTTCCCACGTGATCAAACCCGCAAATATTCGTAACGAATGAAAAAATTATTCGCATTCGCGTTCGTAATGCAAAATATCTACGAATGCGAATACGAATAACGAATGCGAATATTTTCGCTATTCATGAGAAAACACATTGAATATTTACTCGCCGACCTTGTATTGTTTAATATTCTTTAATATATGCAGCGCACACTTAATAGAAAGTATTTCTTCCGTGTTCGTTTGCAGCAATTTTTTTAACTTAACGGCAATCCCGGCAACTTTATTATGTGATCGTTCATGTCTCCTTTCTTTGGGTACTCCCGCTCCAAGTGTCGCAATTAAACTGCTTTACAATTGCCAGGGTTATTATATTGACTTTGATTCGCTTAGAAAGTCACCTTCCAACCGCCTAATGATTTTTCACAAGGACATAGCAAGCTATGATCTGAGGTATGATTCCCTAAGCTGGACCGTATAACCGCCATACATTCTAACGTCCAACCTGATTCAGCTTGGGTCAATCATGCATATTCATCCCAATCGTACGTGGTCCAGAGTCAACGACTGAGATTACTGGAAGATTTCGCTTCTCTCTTTCTCATGCTGCCCGGTTCAAAACCATCAAAGTGAGGATACAGGGAATATTGAGAATGTAAGAGGCTCTACTAGAAAGTGATGAGATTACCTGCTGATCTTTTTTGATCTAAGTCCACAGGATGGCTTCTTGGTATCGAAGGACCGTGAACAGCGCACTTTCGAACGACATCAGATGCTAGCATCTTCAAAACCCCTTAAAGCCTTTCAAATGCCGGCTGGAGACTACGAGTTTCCGTTTATGATTGCACTACCAAGCAGCATCTTGGACACAGTCACGGGCCCGAATCACGAATACCACACGTACCATGTCGAAGCCGTCATTGAGCGTCGCTTCTGGAAAGACTTTACGGTGTCGCGACCGATAAGAATTTACCACCCTCCTGACCAGGATACGGTCAGCATAATGCAACGATTTCCATTGGTATGATTCAAGGCACTTCAACCCAATACGAACTCTGCTAAAATACCATTGGTAGACTGTGGAAGGTCACTCTGACCAAAATATTCAGTATAGCGTTTCTATGCCAGACCAACATGTTCCATTCGGTTGCAGTTTCCCAGTGGAATGTTGGTTTGCGCCAAAGTTGAAAAACATCAAACTTCGTTGCCTTGCAGTCCAAATTGTTGAAAAGCACAATTTGTGTTTCTATGCTACCACAACAGAGTCCGTGCGAGACAATATTCGCTATATGATGTCGGCAAAGAAGCATATTGTCTTCACAGAGCAACATGACCTAACCCACGATGCTCAATCATCAAAAACCGAATGGCGTATGAAAATGCCAGTGCCCCTACCACGGAGTTTGCGTCACTGCTCACAGAGCATTTCTTCACAAAATATAAAAATTGAAAACATGCTAGCCATAACCGCTGACTTCCAAGACGAGCAAGGCCGAGCATTCGCAAGGGTGGGCAAGCCAGTACAGCCAAACAAGTCTTGAAACTAAAGCCTCAGATATTCCTAGGCCCTAAATATATGCCAGATACATCTAACAGAGTAATAGGATTATATAGAGACTCCACAAAAAGTTGTTGTTAAGATATAAAGTTATAATTTATCGTATTTAATAAACAAACCTGAACTTGGGCCTAAAACATAAACATTGCCACAATAACAGAGAGACCCAAAACAATACTCACGTCACGACATTGCAGAGCGTTTGCTGCACTGGAAGGTCCAGTGATTGTGCTGCTTGGGCTGGAAGCGGTTGAAGCGGAAGTACTTAGAGTGGAACTGCTTGGTTTCGAAGTACTGGAGGTAGACGCGCTTGCACTAGAGCTGCTCGCGGACGCACTGCTTGGTGATCCAAAAACACCGCCTTGAACATTGGGCGGTGCAGAGCTCCCGCTCGCTCCTGCTGCCGCCGCCTTGAATGAAGTAAGAGTATCTTGGCCACCGGCACTGAAAAGAAATATGTGATCAATACGGTTGAAATCGTGATTGTTTGACAACGGTGTACTTACGGTGGATTTATTACCGCAACCATGCCAGCTTGACAGTGCCCAACCTGAGCGCAGTATAGCCAGATAGGATTTGTATCATTAACAGTCACAGTGAAGACCGTTTTCTACGTGAAGAATCCAAGATCAGCATACCTCCCACTCTGAATGGACCTGCAAGCCTTACTTGTTCACCGCTTGTTGGGTTCTGGAACCCACTCCAAATACCAGTGTTGCTGGAAGGGTGACACGGATTGTCAAATGAAGCCTGAGCTACCGAGTGGTCTCCCGGATAGAAGTGAAATTCGACTTTCTCCCCTGGGGCCACAGTGAGTGTATCCGGGCTAAAAGTGAACCCTTTTTCGCCCACATCAACGGAGTGGACTGCCTTTGAGCTTGACTGGGAAGTCGATGAGGATGACGGAGAGGTTGATGAGGGTGTTGTAGTCGTACTACTACTGCTTTGACTTCCGCCATACTGCGCATTAATTATCGGAAGCCAAAATAGGATCATCATGAGTCGGAATATTCTCGCCATTTTTGCAAATGAGTTCGGTGGGCAAATGTTGGTTCAGATAGACTGTATAAAAGCAAATATGTCATAGCCATTATAAGCTGACAGACGATTGTCGGTTTAATATAGACATGGCTAGCTGACCCAAGACGAACACCATTGGCTATGTTAAGGAACTAACGGATGCAGCGGATGCCGGGGAAAGTTTAGCGTAACCATGGTTAGCTGGATAGCACATGATACCCCATTCAGCCATTGTATTTTGATTGTCCATTGGCTGTGGGGAATAGATGGTTGGTGGCGCTCGTTTCCCCGCGGTTTCTATATCATATGACGTAACTAATGGGTAGGGAACCTTCAGGAATCTAGAACATTGTTGCTGGCAATGTGACTTCTTTTGTATTATAATGCCATTGCCTTTGGGCAAGATGTGTTTGCGCCGCAACCGAGCTCAAATACATCACCACTGTCAGTACTTCCCTTGGAGCGACTTCAGACCCCGGAACATATATTACGGGAAGGTGCCCAAAGAGGCGTTCTCCCTCCATCCGTTTGCAGATAATGATCATAGTACATAATTGGTATGATGAATGGTTGGTCCCAAGCTTACTTGTGATTTTCTCCAGTATAACATAGAAAATTGCTCCATGTTTCCATCGCTTTGAAATTTCAACTTCGAAGTACGATCAGCACACTTTGCTACTGCCAGTCCTCCTTTATCGGAATTCCCTCCCATCCTCCTATCAGAATGCAATATCCATACCTTTTGTTTTGGTTTTCCGTATGGGTCACGTTGACAATTGCCCAATTGCAGACCTTCACACCCCCAGGTCAAAATGAGATCACATACGCCGTCAACGTTCCTAAACAAACAACCACCTCTGGCATAGGCCCCATATATTTCCAATTGAAATCTACCCGTGAACTTCAATGGTTTGCATGGGGCCAGGGATCTCGGATGCAAGGAGCAAATATATTTGTTGTTTATGCATCTGCCGACGGCAATAATATTACGGTCTCTCCCCGGCTAGGAGCGGAGCACGTCGAACCGCTACATAACCCAAAAGCTCAGATCTCAGTCTTGGATGGTAGTGGAATCAGCAATGGAGTCATTACTGCAAATATTAGATGCGATAGTTGCATTACCTGGCCTGGTGGGCGTGAAGACACAACAAGCTCGGCTAGTCCTTGGGTGTGGGCTTTCAAATCCGGGAATCCACTCGACACCAACAGCTTATCAGCAACAATCATCACACATGATGCTTCGGGCGTTGCAGCTCTAAACCTCCGAGATGCAACCGGTGGCACTTCTGACAACCCATTCTTAACTTCATCGGGCAAGACCCTGAGTTCGAGACAGGCTCTCACCTTTCTCAACACTCCTGCCATTCATAAGAAACGAATCGCCCATGCTGTTATTATGATAACTGTATTTGTTATATTTTTCCCTTCATTTGCACTCGCACTTCGTATTTTTCCTTCTTCTGCAACAGTGTGGGTCCATGCATCCTTGCAACTCTTTACTCTTGCTCTGGCAATCGCCGGTTTTGGTCTTGGCGTCTCGATGGCAAGAGAGGAGAACATCATAGGGTACTATCATCCAATTATTGGGATGGTGGTTGTCCCGTCTCTTATCCTTTTCCAGCCTGCCATGGGCCTCCTTCAACACCGGTATTTCAGCAAATCCGGAAAGAAGGGATTGTTTGGATATTTGCATCAGTGGTTTGGCCGTTGTATGATTATTCTCGGAGTCATCAATGGTGGCCTTGGTTTCCGTATCACTGGAATTGGTTTATCGATTGCTCCTACCGGAGCAGTTATCGCATACAGCGTGGTCGCTGGAGTCTTTGGAATTGTTTACTGTTTGTTGGTCCTTTTCTTTGCCCGGAGAAGAAGATTGCAAAGATCTTGACATAAACTGTGGAGGCTTCAAACTGTCAGCCTGATCCCATTATAACAGGAGGTATACGAACTGAAGTAACTTCTCACTATCTCCCAAACATAGCGGACTGCATAGCAGGCGAAGAGGACAAACATCCCGAAAGTACAAAAAAGTCGGATGTAGCTGTCGAGGTTACCGGCAAATAGCTGGTGTGCGGAGGCAGAGGCCATACCGAAACCGGGAAAGAGGACATCGATAAATTTAGGGAGGGCTATGGTTGGAGCCGCCTCCGGTGATGGCATTCATTGTATATTAAAGAAACACCGAGAGTTATGATATGGGTGTAGAGAATCGGATAATTCGGTTGAGTTGCTTTGGAAAATAATGATAAGATGGGTTCTCCCGACGTGGCCGGACGAGAGTTACGCCTACTTTATATATCTCGAACATGGTGTTGAATAACCAGCGAAAGAAGGCACCCCTCAATCAGACCCTAAACCTGCAAGCCCATGCTGATCTATCAAGTGGATTCAACGAGGATCTCGGACTGAAGCGAACTAGCGTCCTAATCAAATTCGTAGGACAGGTGGACAGTCAAGGTCTCGAACGAATACGCGCGTGTTCCTCAGGTTCTGTCTGTCTAACTGCGAGTGTTTGGCACCGCCACCATATTTGAATAAAAATATGACAAGTGGCATTTTCGTGGTAGCTATCCGATACCGAGTTGCATTTGATTCCTCTTGCCAAGCGCTATTTCACAAGCGCTATACCGGGTTAAGATAAATATCAGCTCAGTCAAAATCAGCGCATAATTTTATTACCCTCAAGGATCTAATGAGAGTAACTTTTCGCCTTCTCTTTCCATGTGAGCTCTGACTTCATTTTGATCTCATCAACAAAAATACCTCAAACTAAGAAACAAACACAGTACTAAAGCGTGCAGGACTAATCGACTATCGAATAAGGCCGAACATAAGGATTTCAAGCATAGAAGCAGCGTACTAAGGAGCAATTAGGAGCTAACCTAGATCAAATAGGCCGGATTTCACGCTATGCCTTCTTATTTAAATGATAGCCAGTGCTATAGGCCTCAGTCAAAGATTCTATGAGCAGGAAGTCTAGAAAATGGACGACGATCTAATATTCTAACTAGTCGCGTCGATAACAGCAACGCTTTGTTCCGGGGCAAGTCTTGCCTTCTGGCTCCTGTATACTGAAGTGTTAAAGCAGGTGGAGTAGAGGAGGAAACCACTCATCTACAGCTAGGTTATAACAGGCGGCATGATTATTCTTGGCTCGATCATATCCAGGTTGCTCGCGTTAGAAAGAGCAATAACGGACAATGCTGCGCAGGGTAAGATTGTTCCGTGATATAAAGGCATTATTAACTCGATATCTAGGTCTATCGCGATCGATGTCTCTTATGGAAATCGGCATCGTGCTACTTTTAAGTGCAGATGGCAAGAGCGAGAGCGACGCTGACACTTATTAATAGTATCTTTGTATATCAACCTTACAGTCATTCTCAGCTCACTTGATTGTCGGCTTATTCTTCGTCGGTGAAATTGTCGTTTATCTCTAACCATTTACCAACCGGCAAGTCTGAATTAGTCGTTACATGGAAGGTCTCTCGCTAACACTCTAATTCAGTAATACCTCAGTGTTTGGCTTGCGTTATTCACGATTATGGTTCTGGTTAGCTAAAGCTTTATTCACGCTCAATTCGTTCGATTTGGGCTACATGCATGAATCCTATATCCCTAGTACCCACTAGTTTCAATGTATTTTGGCGATATCCGGGCCCTAAGACTCCTAAGCATCAGAAGGCCCTCTGGACGGCGGCAATAGGGTTAATCGCGCTTTTTCTTTATTCACTAGGCACAACAATCCTCGTGTGTATGAGACCATATCTGTGGGTCTAATTCACGACGGTATGTACCTTGGCCGCAACAGTACCCTAGTTACTTATTCGCTGCATAGCTCTAAGTCGCTATAATAAGTCTGAGGAAGGTTGTGACGTCGACTGCCGTTTTCTGAGCTTAATTATTTTTGTAATTCAAGAGCAGGGTCGATTGATAGCGGGCGCGCGGTAGGATTTCCTAATTAGAGATTGCCGACAAAGTACGTTGGTTTTATTTCTTTTTTCTTGATAGTAGTTTATTTCTGCCCTTTTTGCCTCGATCTTTTCGGACGGCCTGCAGGCAAGAAGCATTCCGACAGATCTCAGTTGGATTCCCAAGTGGTGGGAATCAGGAGCTCCAAGAACCACGAAACTCTCAGAGTCAGTATATCCGTCTAACGGCCGCATCTACACGGCCAAGTCGTCGCGTAGCGAAGATCGAGTAGGAGAGGGCGCGGGTGCAGGAGGCCAACGAAACGCTTGATCGAAGTACCGACAAAGACGGCGTTACAATAAAGGTCAAGGCTGCGTAACGCAATGACGTCATTCAAATACAACCTAAGCCCGGAAGAACTACGCTTAGTGCTGACCAGAATCGCGTAAACCGACGCCATTCACCACGATGCGACTGAGACGTAGGCCACTAGACAGTGGATCACGCTCTACTCGAGAGCCCGCTATACCAGGACTACCGCGACTGGATAAGAAGAGCTATTTCCGACCAAGGAATCGCTCTGCGCCGGGATAAGATTCTAACGCGGCCGAAGGCTTGCAGAGTTGTGGTCAAATCTATAGCCCTATACGCCAGATTCGGGTCGATCGAACTGCTTTAGGCATAAAAGGAGACAAGGAAATGATACTTAAGGACAGTGTGACATACGAAGAAAAATAACGCCCAGTAGGATTGCAATACTAGGTCAAATGTACTTCTTAATTCGAACGAGCGTGCGAGCGGCAGGTTTAGATAGGGGCGGAAGAGGAAGGGAGCTTTTTGGCAGCACTTATTGCTGCCCGGTGGGATTTGGATTGTCCCAAGGTGGGGGCAAGCCAGTCACCTAGCAATCTTCAACCTTCAACCCCTCAGCGAACCTTCACCCACGCAAATAGTCCTGTTACACCAAGTAGTCTCCGTATTGACACGCTGCTACGCGGTCTATTATCGACCATACTTCGTAGATCTAGCCCTATTTCAACATATTCAGTAATTCTTGCTTTGTTTATAGGTAAGACAGACAATCATTCAGTGGTCAGTATAGAGAGACTCAAGAAAGGTATTCAATACGATAGCTACACATTCCGCCGTAGCTCGACCCTTTCGCTTTTCGTACCAAAATGCATGCTGACACACTTTCATTCGCCACAGGACACTCGACCTCCTCTCAATCATATCTAAGTACCGCGTCCACCTTGAACGCTTCGTTAGAACCTATATATGAGACTGTCAGTCCGGATCCGGAAATATGGCGTCTGAAGCGTGATGAAGGATTCGGAGAAAGCGTGGATGAAGGGTCTAGTCCGCGTAGCCTCAAATTCGCTCCTATTAAAGAACCTAGGGCTGAATTGAAACCACCTTGCCTGCCGAAGGATATTCCGCCACGCTCACAGCATTGCAATTGGAAACTGTCCTAGCTTCTTGACTGCGGGCCTGGACCTATTTCCACCGACCTTATCAACAGAAGTTTCGAGAAGTTCAAAACGCTTACTTTCGAAGATTTTGTGGAAACGGCTAGAGGGCCTCCATCAGATGCAATTCGTTTCTTTCTTTGAACTTACGAATTGCTTGAATGGAAGGTCTATAGCGCATTTATCAAGCATTCCGAACCTCTTGATTCAATTAGAGAGAGTAAGTGATATCTGAATATTCAGTATGTGGATTTGCAGTGACGGTGCTCGAATATGTAAGTACCAGGTAGGCGTTTCATCACACAGGGCATTTTAAATCACCGGATCTGCGTCACACAAGATGTTACACCAATTCACCACCCTTCTCATTCTTCCAGGACCCAGCATAGTGATGTTCAACTAAATAGGAACCACGGTCTTTCGGCCACCCACCCTGCATAGCTACAAACGCCGCATTCGGGAGAACGAGCACGTCATAAAAGAGCAGAAGAGATATGCTTATAAAATCTATGCTGACGAATCGACCTTTCAAAATCATCTAACGATCGGTAACTCGGCTGAGGGCCTTAAGTTTGCTCGAATTCAAATCGCGAATCAACAGAATTCTATCGAAGATTGTCATCGTACTATCGAGTTATTTTACTTATGTTTCGGAGTACGTGTCTTGCTTTGGGCTCAGGAAGTAGTGTCTTAGATAAGCGCTATTTCCGCTCGATGAGTTCCTGCAGAGAATATGCCGCCTCTCTCTTAGCGGCAGTTAGGCGATTATTAGCTTCATAATATTTGAAAACTATCTTATTAATACGGGGGTATAAGGTCTCAAAGTCCTTCTAGGTTCAAGAAACTCTAGCTATTCTATTAAAGTATTCTTCTTAGTCGGAATCTCCGAGACTCTTGAAATTTCCGTAAGAGAGCAGTAGATCTTCTATAGGCTCTAAATCAATATAACTAAATTAATAACTTCTCTTCGGTCCTGAAATTTTCGCTATGTTAGTTTAACTACTATAAAAATACACTAATTAATAGCGAAGTTAACTTACCTAATTCAACGCCGTTCGTCTCAATTTTCCTCTTTGTTAGCTAACTATACGTTATTTCTAGGTATTGAAAAAGGTAGGTACAGTCGAAGCTCCGGCAGCCGGGATAATTCGTATACGTTGAATCACGAGTAGATTCCTTGAGTATTAGGCTGTTTAGTATAATAGGGAGATTCTCCACATTCGCTCCGTTCTAGAATTCAGTTAAGCTTATTAGAATAGTGTCTGTATCCGAATCATATTTATCTACTATTGTGAGATATAGGGCAAGATGCCTAAACCGTCATGCAGCATATCAAGCCAGATTCATAAGGCCTATACAAGATGGCTGAATCTCTATAAGCTTTATGCTATACCATCATCACTGCGGTCAATGACATCAAGTAAGACGTATACAAAAGTATACGATCTACATCATCACTACGGTCAATGACACGATCTACATCATCACTACAGTCAATGACATCGTA